TTTCTTGGGGGGCCGAAATGCACGTAAAACGTCCCCCGTCCTTTATGCTCTAAAATCATTTTGACAAGGTATAAAATAAGATGTTCTCAACTATGAGATGATCGAAAACAGAAAATTTTGTTTTACAATTATTCACTAGATAATATAATGAATTAAGTGATTAAAGAATTCATCAATGCATTGCCAACATAAATGTGTGCGACAAACTATATAAATTAATATATATAACGGTTCTATGAATGAATAATCGTGTCTTTTTTTAATTTAATTTTATTAAGCATTATTTTTCCGTAAGACTATGTCATAATAAAGCAAAGTATAACAATGTTTCTTCATTGTATATGAATACGAACACGTTCAGTTCTGATTGTTTTAATAGCAGCAATCCATCTTTAGACTTCGACAGTACGATTACATATTTTTTTCTCAATAAGTGTAGAAAAAATTATTAAGGGATTCTTCATTATAAATTGATGAAAGGAGGAAGTGTTCGCAGTAATGATCGAGTCTTTTTGTTGCATAGTATGCACGTTTCTTTAATTACAAATTAATTTGTGCAACATATAAGAGATATCCTTATACACTGTCTCAGGCAATAAATAAGAGTGTTTTTAGCTACAATAGTTGAATAATTGGGACACTTAATACAATACTGACTGGATGGATTCTTTTAGAGATTTAGAATATCGTTTTTGTGCTCTCTCTCTCTCTTTACTGCTTTTTCGCATGCTTTTTCTAGATATATTCTTCTGGTTTATTTTAAGCATTTCTAATCATTAACACAGTTGGAAACGAAAGAATAAGAAGCACACAATCGACTTATTAAGTTTTCCTCTTCATTTTTTTCAGCAGTCCATTAGATTCTAAAATGTCATCGTTTGATCTTGATTTCATTGCATACATTAATAATGTTTCGACTGAAATTTATCGTTATTTTTCAATTTTTATTTTTCTCTTTGGCACATTGAGTAATACTCTCAATATTCTTATTTTGTCACAGAAATCTTTTCGGAAAAATTCATGTGCAATACACTTTCTGGCTTCATCTATTGCTAATTTTATTGCTATTCTTTCCGGTCTTACTTCACGAATGTTGTCTGGTTGGGCAGCGGATCTAACAAATACCGATAGATTTCTTTGTAAATTTCGATCTTTTATTCTCAACGTGGCAAGAGCAGTGACATTTTGGCTCATACTATTAGCAGCTATAGATCGATGGCTATTGTCAAGTAGCAATGTTCGTCTTCGACAAATAAGTACATTAAAAAATGCACAACGAGGTATGATTATCATTATGATAACTTCTACGGTTCTCTTTTCTCATATTCTATATTGTTATGAGCCAAATATGATTAATGCTCCTCTGAAATGTTATGGAATAACATTGATATGTCGCTTTGTCACGGATATATCTCTTACATTTCTCACCACTCTAATTCAAATTCTACTCATGCTCATCTCTGGTTTAATGACCATCAAGAACGTACGTCACTCACGAAGTCACGTTCAAGCTAGAAATATACCGACTATAAATAGCATATGGATAACAAACGGAAACCAGTGACAACAACGAAACTAGATTGATTCTCATCTTCTTCTTATGCTCCTTGCACAAGTTGTTCTTCTCTTTATATTTGGTCTCCCATTGGGCATGCAAAAACTGTATGCAACTATAACCATGAATAGAACCACATCTAAATTGCAAGTTGCTATCGACAATCTTGTCTACACTCTCGCTGTACTTCTTAATTTTTTAACATATGGAATGCCATTCTATATTTATACATTGGTTGGCGGTAGAATATTTCGAATAGCACTAATGAAAATTTTATTAGCAGTAAGAAATAAGATCTTTTGCCAATGAAGATTATTTCACGTATGACATAAAGAACATTCAACATAATATAATTACTTGTAATATATAATTATAAAAAAAAATAAAATAAAAAGAATCATTTGAAGAAACAGATGAATCTTAAAGCAGAACGTTCATAAATACAGCATAGAACAATAATGGCTGTCAAAATATCCAGTCATTTGATAAAAGTTTTTCAAAAACACAAAAATAAACGATAATGACAAACTACTGTGATCATTATTTTACTAGGTTTTGTTAGTTGGATGTGGGTGTGAATGATGGAAATACCCACACCCTTTTTTGTCTTCTGTTTAATGTTTTTTTTTGAGTTTGTCATTCGCCTTGGAGAGTTGTGAAAATTTCCGAGGACTAGATTGAGTCTACTTCAGGAATCCTAGAGAATCCGATATGATTCGGCGAAGGGATTCGACAAAATCCGGTTGAATCTTTTTCGGCGTGAGTCAGTTCGAAATCTGAGCGAAAAGATTCCAGTATCAACCAGTACGGATCCGATCGGATTTTTCCGAAATTCGATACATAGATATTGCATACGACCATCAAAGCCGCATTTCTGTTTCTTTCGATTTGAATTGAATGGAAGTCCATCAGATTTCAGTCTTCAAATTTGAATAAAAGATGAATCACGATTTTCTAATTCATTCAGTTTACCTCTCGGTTTAACTCAGCTACACGGCCATCGAGGCAGCAGCGTACAAAAAAAGAGACTTCTAGAAACTTTTATTTAAGCTTTCTGGGTTAGCACGCTCGACAGAATAGCTTCGTGATCGTGACCAAAAAAAACGTTTGATCATACCGGGCTCTATTCAAAAATCTCTATGGACAATCAATGAATTCTTGTTGTTTTTCCACACACAAACATATATCACATGTTGCATGAATACGAATGTCATTCATATTTTGAAGAAGATCTTGAATAAAAACGGACTTAATGAAGTGTTTGACAAGTATAAAATAGTTCAGGCACCTTTCTTTGATTTGTTCTCTGAGACAATATTTTCTCTCTGTACTGTCGAACTATGAGAACAACAGAATGAGCGATTCTTAGTCGTTTCGTGATTATCTCTAGAGTAATGATTAATGACCTATTTTCAATCATGACTGTAAAAAGAATGTTATCTGTACGATGTTTTTCGGAGGTAAAAGTCTAACTGATAAGGGAATTTATCAAGAATATAAATGCGTTTTTGATCGAAATCATGTTTTCCTTCGCATTATTTCTCGACAAATAGTTGAGCTCCCTCTCAAGTGATCTGAAAAATCGGATTGCGAGTTTCGATTTGAAACTTTACACAAAAAATTCTCAACACTGAATCATTAGTTTCATTTTCGACTACAAAGTATTCACGAATTTTGAATACTTATAAGTTTATTATTAATATTTTATTGCAATACAATGTCTTTCTGTTTATCTGAAAATTTTTTCGCAAATGAAATGATTATTTTCCAATAGTCGATTGTAATTCTTCTAATGTTGCTTGTTGAATAAATCTTTCGTATACTTCTTGTCTTTCTTGATTGCGCTGCTCATATTGTTGTCGTCTTTCCAATGCCATACGAGAAACTCTCGCTGATGCCGACAATGTATCTTGAGCAATTTGTTTCATAAGACTTTCGCGTTCTTGATTCGTTTGAGTTAGTATAAGTCTAGAAATTCCTGCAATCTGACTCATCATGTATTGGTAGCTGACATCGTAATATGTTTTAGACATGATGTATAATAAATGTGCACCACGATCAATTTCATTGGCTGTTTCAAGTAATAACATGACGTAGAATTCTCGATCAGCATCATCCAACATTCCGCTAGCTAAGTCTGCTGCTTGAATAACAGCGATGAATTCAAATAGAATTGTCTGTTGAGTATGTTCAGCTTGCATAGATAATTTAGCAAAAAATCGAATCATTTTATCCCATTGTTCTTGTATATGAATGACTTCTTTCGTCGCACTTACAAGAATATTAATGACAGTCTGATGATCGACTGTATTCATATCTAATTGTGACAATTGAAAAATGATTCCAGTAAGTTTATTTTGTTTTTCTAACATTTTTGCATACCATTGATCGTAAATTCCTTGTGCTTCTTTCAATCGTTGCAATGCTAATTCAGCTTTCTTTTTGGCATTTTCAAAAGCTGTATTATCGACTTCACCACTGCACGACGAAAAAATGCAACCCAAATTATTCAATATTCCACCAACAACGTTAGTCAGTACATTGCCAAGAACGTTGCTTAGCGCGCCACTAACTACGGTGCTAATAAAACCTCCCAAAAATCTTTTTCGTCGGCCCGGAATGACGTGATATGCCTCGTAGTATTCTTTATGTGCTTTCTGTAGAGCTTCTCGGGCTACTTCGAACTCTTTTCTTATTTCTTCTATTTGTAAATTTAACAGTTCTTGTTCTTTAGTTGAATTATTGATAAGATCATTGATGACTTGGAGTCCAGCATCAGTCGATGTCTGCGTGCCCACCATTATTTCCGTTAATTCCCTCAGAAAAGCGGATAAATTTTTATAACTATAAATTGTGGAATTCGCTGATTGAACACATTGATTTGCAATTCGTTTGATATTATCTAATGTTAGCGGAAGCATCGTTTGAATGATACGAGGTGTAGCAGATGTGAGCAATTTGAGAGCTGTCTTGATTTGATTCGGTATCTTCTGCATATTTGTCTGAATTTGATCCATGTTCGTATGTGCACCAAAGAATGCTGTGTACATTTCGTTACTAACTTGAACCAAAGTGGCGCGAAATGAATTTGGATGTTTGATGTACTTATAAATATAATTTGGAGTTGGTAATACCAAAGCGAAATCCTTTTTACTTGCTACTATCATGAGATTACTGAGATAATTGACAGTGATCGGGCCCGCAACAACAAGATCTTCCCATTTCTCTTCGATGTCACGCTGTGATACTAATTGATCATCTAATTTGTCATCAAATATTGCTGAATTTCTGGATGCAATCAAAGCTACAATTATACAGAAGGAATATCACACCTCAGATCAATTGTGTACATAGGACAGTCAAAAAATAGTGAGAATATTGTTGTAATTCTTTATAAAAAGCTTAAAGAAACTTTCTCTCTATATAATCTGATAGAGAAAAGAATGCTCTATTTTTCTATACGATTTGATCAGATTTCAACTAATATTATAATAATAAAGTTTCGATCAGACCTATTTTTCTATCATATACGATGGATATACAAATGTCTAAGTAGTGAATATTTGAATATTTTTTGAATAACTTTTGATCAAAACTAGGTAGGAAGCTTCGGTTTTTGTCGTTTGAAAGAGGATGTAAAGATGTATTGAGTCGTCTAATATACGTTTTCCTAGTGTGTTGTCTGAAGTTTGTTTACTCTATTTTCTATGTATGGAAAAATGATTATTATCACAAAAGAAAAAGCAAAATAAAGTTCTTTTAAACAGATATTGCCAGAAAAATAAGTTAGATCTTCTAATAGAATGCCTATAATTGCTGAATGATGAATTCTAAACATTTGACCTTTGTGTAGTTCTGTAAACCTTCCACTGGCAGTTTGAATAGATGCCTGACAATTGAGAATTCACTGTAAACACCTCACTGAGTAAGTTGATCTTCAAAGAGGCCTACTGAAAATGTCAAAAAAGGCATGTGAAAATCTATAATATACGATTTGGTACATCTTTATTTCCTTTTTCGAACGATAAAAACTACTATTCTCTATCTAGCTTCTATCAAAAGCTATTCAGAAACTATCCACTAAATAAACATCTGTATATTCGTCGTATATGATAGAAAAATAGATCTGATCGAAACTTTGTCATTATAATATTAGTTGAAGTATAATCAAATAGCATAGAAAAATAGAGCATTCTCTTCTCTATGAGACTATATAGAGAGAAAGTTTGTTAAAGTTTTCGATAAGAAATTACAGCACCATTCTCATTACTTTTTGACTACCCATAGTAGTTTTCCACAAGGAATCCCTAAATTAGTCGGATTTTTAAAGTGCTAATAAACCTTTTTTTGAATAGCTATTGATCATTTCGGGTTATCGTGCAGTGGTTTTCATCTTCTACTGCAACGATGTGCAAACATATAACCATCTTTCATGGTTCTTTCCTTCTGATGTCGCATTCTCAAGATTCTCACAAGAATTTTGACTCAAATTAGGGTGGAGATACCCACCTCCCCCGTCAATATGAATATTTTATAATCAAATTGTAGAACCTGTGAACCTACATATATCCTGAAATTTTTTCTGCGAACGGATATGTTTCGACGGAGAAACAGCTATCACAAGCTATATAAAAAAAAGAAGCTAGTATTTTTTTCTAATTTACTCCGTATCGTTTGAGATACAACTGATTTTTGACGGCATTTTTTTGTTATGACAATGATCACAAACAGTAAATCCGCCGATGATTACTCGTTTCTAATGGGCTTCGTTGCATGAGACAATCGACTAGATGACTATAACCTTGTGTCCACTATACGAACGAAGACTTAATTCAAGTTGAATTAATTTCTCGTTTATATAGTAGAGACAAGGCTCATCACTCGCTTTGTTGTTGATCTTCACTGATTCCATAAATCCTTACGAATTACATCATGAGATTTGTTGAACTGTATTGAAAAATGCGAAACAATTGAATCGAACGCATTGAGTCGCATCAAATTAACGAACATGCGGAAGTTGTACTGTTTAAACATGGGTTCTGTTTAGTGATTCTGTAGTCAAACGAGTAAAAACAGCTACACATACAATAAAGATAGTTTCAACCGTTGATTTCGACCATTTCAGTAGATCATCGCATTGAACCTGTATGAAGTGGCTATCTTAGGAGTGAAATGTGCTAAAACGTGTTGATTTCTTTTTTTTTGACTGCTAGGGTATATGTCATTTTTCTTGCCTAGTAAAAATCATGCAAGACAAAACTGGAAAGGATGTTCCATGAATAGATTCTAAACTTCTGTGTCTAGAAACTTTTATTTGTCTTAATCAATCGATCTTTATAATAGCCATTAATCGGTCTATGTAGTATGCTGTGAACTCTACGAATAACAACTTACTTGGTATGTCATCGATATTCCGTTCAAGATTATATAGAAATACATCATCATCTAATTTTGGTATTGCCATCAATTCTTTTTTGTTCATGCGAAAAATTGTTTGCACATAATTGTCTTCATATGGATCACTTCGAATATCCTTGGGTAAGAAAATATTTTCAGCCAATGATGGCGATGTGAAATGACATTCTACAATGCCAACGATTATTGTAAAAAGTAATAGAGCAGCTGAAAAAAATGCTTGATTAAAAATGTTACTTAGAATGTGAAGAAAAAAGTACTAACCGGTGATGAGGCTCATTTTCATCTAAAATTAAAAAAAATAATGAAGGATTAATTATTATTCCTTCCCATTTCTGTATTCAGCTCTATCAATGACACTTGACTATTCATACGGCTTGATTCAGACAAATGACCAATGTGATCAACGGTATTACTTCATCCAGTTTTGATTGCTGAACTCATGATTTTCTTTTTAGTGTCAAATCTTATGAAATTAAATCAGAGCAAGAAGCTACCTTGAATGGTTATGTTTGAATGAAAAGATCGGAATTTTAATATTTCATGAACTATTGAACGGATACATGTATCGGTCAGAAAAATGACATTTTCAATTTCTTCATACAGTTTTACCTTTATTTCGAATATCGAATTTATTTTGTAATTCGATCGGAATATGTCGAAATATTACCTCAATTTCGCAGGTTTGGACGCTGAAAAAACACTGTGGCGATGGTTAAGAGCAGTAGGCAGTCATTTTCTAATATACTTTACTCATCATTTTCAAGAACTGAACGAGAGCCATTAGTGCACACAAAACAACTCTGACTTTTTTTTGACATAGTAGGAATGTAGGACTATTCAGAGTTACTAGCCGAATACCGTTTGGGACTTCTTACACTATCTGACTATTGAGTCCGACTAGTTCTTTTCTCATATGGCCTCTGCCAATAATTAGATAGCTAATTTGATTATCTATTGAATAGTATAGAACATAGAATAAAAGACTTATCTTAAAGTAAAAAAGTGTGCCAAATACCACTTCAAGTAGTAAGAAAGCGTCTTTCTTTCTTTATTGTTTGTGCAAAAGTTCGATGTTTTTCTGGACTTTTCAACAACGAAAATTCTGTTCGATAAAAGTAAGAAGAATTTGATGCAGCATCTTTCTTTTAAAACACTTTTATACTATTATGAACTATAAGACTGAAACTGTGGACGAAATTTTAAAAAAACAGCCTTTTTTTAGGAAAAATGTACTATGAAGACAAAATTCTTGTTTCTCTTCAATTACTAATTCAGTCGGCGAACAAGTTTCTGGCTATATATACATGTCGAAATTGCCCTTACAATTCAGTTCACTTTAAAATCTTTAAGCGTCAACTAGTTCAGTTCCCTTTTAAATTCAACAAGTTGTCTTTTAAAGATATTGCTCTATCGAGCTAAACTAGAATTAGTCATAAGCCTTCATATTCGAAATTTTGTGCCAACCAGTGGTCTTTACACTCATATAATTTGTACTACTAAGTAGCTGTTACTCTGTCAAAACATACCCGTTCGCCGAGACAACTTCACGATATACACAATTCCACTTTCTCTAAAATTTTGTTGTAAAAAGTAAATATCGAAGAAGGATATAACTATCTCTCTTCGATAAAATTCTTCTTGCATGAACTATTGAGGTTCTATGCATAAACGATAATAATGGGTGCACCAGAATCAATGGCGGTCTCAGTATTTTCACCATAACTTTTTTGTTTCTCATGGTATAGAGTCATACTTTTTTTGCAAAGATATGCCGTGAAATTCTTTACAAAATGACTTATTTCATATGAACTCATTACCTTTCATCATATTTTAAAATGAAATGGATTCGCATGACAAAACGAGCAGTGCTTTCAAAAAATAACTGTTTTAAACATTTTTCTAATAATGTATCACTTACCATTTCTCAGTGACTGTGGCTGATATTTTCTTTTGATTCTGATACTTACCTGTTCAATCCAATTAGAGAAACCCAGGCAGCTCTGGAGCTGCAATAAATCACGACTACTTATCAATCAAAAGAAAATATCAGTCACAGTCACTGAGAAACAGTAAATGATACGTTATTAGAAAAATGTTAAAAATAGTTATTTTTTGAAAGTACTGCTCATTTTGTCATGAGAATCCATTTCATTTTAAAATATGATGAAAGGTAATGAGTTAATGTGAAATAAGCCATTTTGTAGAGAATTTCACGGTGCATCTTTGAAAAAAAAGTATGACTCTGTACCATGAGAAACAAACAAGTTATGGTGAAAACACTGAGACCGCCATTTATTCTGTCGCATCCATAGAGGAAGTACTGAGTTCAGGGTACCCATGTACTGAGAAAGCCTCAGCAGGGTACCCGATATGGGTACTTCGAAAATTTTCAGTAACTATACTGATGTAGGTACTGCATTGAGTACCCATTACAGTATGTTTACTGAACAAGTACTTGCATGAGTACTCGCACCTGTAATTTTACTAGGAAAAGCTCTACAGG